ACTATCTCTCAGCGAACTTTTACCTCGAATACAATCAGAGCAGGGACAAACTTTAGAAAACTCTCGAAAAAGAAACAGAGCAGGAACTGACTGTGGACGAAAGAGACAGGCTCATACCGACCCACATAACGAACCATGTCTCAATGTAGCAAATCCACTTGATAATACAGGTTCCCAATAAATAGTGAGGATAAGGGGTTCCAATCCCCTTTAAAGAATCTAACTGCCAGTGGGAAGACAAAAGGATTGAGGGAATCTAGAGTTATGCTCGAAAGAATGAAGAAGGAGATGAAGCAAGCCAGAAATCCTAGAAAATAAAGCCTGGAACCATACATCGGGCCGACCTCATACTCCTAAGAACCAGGGTTACTATCTCTAGCCGAAGGCTGAAGATCTCTGAAGAAGTGGCAAATCTATGCAGTGTAAGAGGCACGGTCCACCCTCACTCGTTTGGTCCTTCTTGCTGAACCATCAAATACAGAACTCCACTGACCACAAGCTTGAAGATTTTGTTTTAGGGATTGGATTAGAGAATCATCTTCAGGGGGTATCCGCTAAGGGTAGAAGGCCTTAGAGCTAGTCACTTCTGGGCCAGCAACATGAACACATCTTCGAGTATGGGCCCCATCTCATGCTGGCTAAGAATGAAAGTGTGTGTCTCGGTGCTCTACCGAAGAGCTATGGCTTCAAGGTTAGCATTATTGCAGTGAATGGATAAAGATCGAGATATCTTCATTGGAATCAATAGCCAGGCCTCCTGAAGCCTTTGACAGAAGCCCCTATTTGAGAGGACATCATCGACCCACCCCTGCCAACCAAAGGAAGGGTTGGAGAAAGTCTTAAACTAGGGATAACAGTAAGGGAAATCCCCTCGCTTAACCCTAAATCGTAACACTGAATAAGAGGAGATGAGGGCCCCATGTCTGGAATCAATATCCTCAAAAAGACACAATGGAGTCCCCTTCGGTGATGGAGAAGAGGCGGTGGAGATAGCTGCTCGCCAGAACGGGTCCTTCCGGCCAAAATAAAGAGATTTCCTTCACTCGGACATCAGAGGCACATCCCTTTCCTTCATAAGAGCTGGTTCTGATGACCCCAAAATGACAGATTTCCTTCGGGGAACATATAGCTGAAATAACAGGCATAACAACAAGGAGTCAACCTTATCCAATTCAGAATATTGGAATTGAAGCAACACAAACTAATAGGAATTCAAATGGAATTTTGGCATCAATTGTCTATTTCGCGGGGTATCCACAAGCCCAACAAATGACCATACATGGTTGTAAGAGTTATTATGACGTCTTAGATATTCTATTTATACCAAATTCAACAATATCGATTCAAGATTCAATGTCAAGGTCCAATATATACATAGGCAGTGAATCCTCAACATCCTCAAGTTCAACAAATTGCTATATTAATGTGTGTATCATCAACAACAACAGCACTTTTTTTTCATTCTATTCAATAGACCAAAGTCGTTTTGTCTATGTTGAAGTGAAGCTTCTCAATAAAGTTTCAAATCCCAGAATTACAATATTCAAACATTTAACATTATGATTTTAGCAACGTCAGATTTTGAGTCACCAAAAATGCTTCAAGACTTGTCTCTATTTCAAGAAAAAAAAAAATCAACAGAGGGGTTTCAGGATTCAGATGTGGGTTCGAAATACAGTGTCTTCAGATCAAAATTACAGTTCAATAATATTAACCATCTCAGGCCAAAATTGTAAAATTCAATATTAGGGCATTTCACTTCTCTCAATAACCAAGCATTTAATAAGGGTTCAACCATGTCTTATTTTTATTTTATTTTTTTAAGAAAAGCAGTGAGTAATAATCAGCAAATCAAGATTCACAAATATATATATAAATATATATATATATATATATTAGAGCAAGAGATTCTAAAGAGGGGTTTTCACAAAAGGCTTCCTCCAAAATAAAGATATTTTGAAAAGCTTACCCACAGATTTATACTAACGAAAGTGGAACTCAGCTGAGTTAAAGTCAAAGCAGAAAGTAGAAAATAGGCCACAAAATTGGTAGAACCAGCACCAAGGATAGCCGAAGTAGATCGACGACAGCACCGGCAGTGGGCAAGAAAAGATATGGGTAGACCGACGACGCGTTGAGTGGGCAGCATGGTCAATGATCAGTTACGGTTGACGAATGAAGTAATGGTGCAGGAGTCGGGCGTGAAATGAACAAACCATGCAAATTGAGTGGTCAGCGCTGGACAATCAAGGCCGGAAGTAGTGATGATGCCGCAAAGGAGTTGGCGACCACACACGATACGTTGAGTGGACGACGTATGTGGTTGGCACTGGAGCAACAGTCAAGGTTGGCGACGAGGTTGCAGTGGAAGAGACTGACGGTGGGTTGAAGGCAACAGGTATGAAGAATGAGCCAACCAACAGTGAGCTAGGCTGGAGTTGGCTCGACCCGGCGGTTGCCAACAACATCGCGATGCCAACGATAGCTGAGGCTGTGGCCACCAATGGTGTGCAAGGGTCTTCGGTGACAGAAACGACGACTATGCTTGAAACTGCGATGGAGGTTAGTGTGCAAACAGCAGTAACTCTGGCTTGTTGAAGAGGAAAGTTGGTTCTCTCAATCTAGAGAGAGTAGGCTGAGAATAGGGTTTGGCAAAAAAAAAAGAGAAAAAGATAAGGACTAGAAATTTTGTCCTTTCTTTAAGGCAAAATGTATGATGCTGATGGTCCTTTATATAGCATAAGGATATATATTCGAATATTCCGAGAATTTGAGGATTTGGAATTTTGTAAGGTATTGAAGGGAAAGCAAAGCCAAGTTTGACTCAAAAAAATATGGACCTTATCTTTTTAAGAATAAAAAAAGAAAAACGCTTGGGAGCACTAATTAGTGTTCCCACTAATTAGGTGACAGTGGATCCCGTCATTAATGATGTGATGTTTTGATTTTAGAGTTGTATTTTTTTCTTGTTTTTTTACTTTTTTAATGCATTAGTGCTATTAGTGATGATGTTTTTAGTGGGATGAATCATTGTTGATAAAAAAATGATGATGGGTGGTTTATTTTTTGCATGGAGTGAAAAAAAAATATTTTTAGATGTTTGAAAAAAAAAAAGTAAAAAAAAAATTTCTTATTAATCGTCAATTTTACCCATAAATTACGGTAAGTCATCAACTTTATCCATAAGCCATGTCAAGGCAAAATATTCCCGAGGACATAATGCGAACCATGGCCGAAGAGGTGAAAATATGCATATCTGAGAAAACTAAAATTTCTCATACACGCAAAGGGCAAAATGTAAGAGGAGTCAAGTCGGGCCCATTTAAATTAATTAGGCCCAATCAAAAAAGGCCAAGATTGTCGGGCCTGGATTTATCACCATCAAACAGGCCAGGTCGCTTTAAGCCTTGAAAAAGTTTGAATCCATGAACTTAAAGACTTTCTCAGGCCCGGATTCGAAATGGTATTGAGTAAGTCTAGAGATCCGAGGTACTCGGGTTTCGAATAAATTCGATCACAATCTAAAAGTCGCTCCATTGGTGAGTCCCAAAACATGTGCGGGTTTGGAGCATTCCGGGATCAACCCACTAGAGTCATGAGTGAGGTTAGAGCCCGAACAAAGGGCCTCAACCCCGATGACAATAGGTGAAGATGAATTCACTCATCGATTGATTTAGCCTATGCTCAGGTCGAAGTGGCACGACCCCGAGGGGTCCATGAGACTCGACAATATTAGCGGGGGGATCCTTTAGAACTACCTAGGCCCTTTGGGTGATTGGAGATCATTAATTAGGTGTGGCAAAGAAAAAGGGTTCGCTGAGACGTTAATCTCCTCTTCGGGATTTTCCTCATCCTCGGAGAGGTCACCTCATCAGACATGGTGGTTAGAGAGAATATTCCCCATGTGCCTTGCACATGGGCTCCATCCTACATCATAAGGTGCATATAAATAACACCCACCAATAACTTTACAAGGGTTAGATTTTGGAGAGACAACTCTTGGGAAATAACTAATTTCCCTCCTCCATTATCTACCTTGAGAGTGAAAGCGGGAGATCTATGGGAGAGTCATGCAATTATTCTCTCTCTAACTACGTTGTATTCTTCTTCACTCAATCTCTTATCTCCATCATCTCTTTGCTTTTGTGTTCTTCGTTGTGACTGTTGAAGAATCTAAACATCTCATCGTTTCTTGAACCCTCTCATACAGTTATGAAACTATAAAATTTTACAGTTTTAAAGCATGATTCATTTCAGCACCAAAAAAACTGAAACTGTAAAGTTTTATAGTTTTCTCCATCTGTAACTAAAACACGAAAACAACTTGTTCATAACTTGAAAATTTTCTTGAGAAAACAAGAAAATAGAAATGTATAGCAGAGAAAAGTTTAAAAAAAAATTGAGATATTGAAGGAGAGAAAAAGATATAGAGAGAAGATTGTATTTTGATAACTATTTTTGGTTTGAATCTAGTCGGATCTGATATAGATCTGAGTAGATCTACATTAGATTTGAGAAGATATACTTATCTTTTACACTGGAAACTCATCTCATTCGCCGTCAATGAGGGTAAAATAAGGAGTCGGACCAATGAACCCCAATCAATAGTAGTTGTCGATTGCTGGTGACTATACATTAACAGAGAAAGAGAAGAAATAAGGCATGCTTGTCGGTCACCGAAAATCAAAAAGAGAAAGAGGCAAAGAAGAACGAATGTATAAAGAAGAACGAAAAAGAAAAATACATAGTAAACTTTAGAAAGTTTACCAAAGATTATGAGATTAAGGCCTTGTTTGGGAAAACTAATTAAGTCCACATTTTTTATTTTTTTATCTTTTTTGAGTCACATCAATCAACATCTACTCTCTATTTTTCTAAACATCATTTTATAAAAAGTCAAAAAATATATTTATTTAGAACATCCCAAACAATCTCTAAATATACTTCTTCTCTTTTAAATAGGATTTCAGAGTAATTCGTTATAAAAAAAAAACAAACAAACAAACAACCGAACAGGCCGAACATTCCCTTATGCCAGTAAAAGCCCTGCCCGGCCCAAATGAAAGAAACTAAACGAGACGGTTGGTGGAGTTGAAAATGGAACTGGAACTGGAAAACAGACTATCGCTCTTCCATCGTTTTCCGATCATCTCAGACGGTTGGTGGTGTTGAAAATGGCGAGCTCTCTGCGTCGAAGCCTGAGCTTAGCAAACCCTCATCTCTATTCTCTTCTCTCATCAACGAGGTCGTTCTCGTCTTCGTCGTCGGACGCCTTGGTCGAAACCAAGCCCGGTGAGGTCGGAATCGTCTCCGGCATTCCCCAAGAACACCTCCGTAGAAGGGTTCGTAAATCTCCTCTCTTCTCTCTCTCTCTCTCTCTCATTTTCCCTTAAATTTCGAATCACCATTCACATATATAGACATATATCAATCTGCTTTGGTTTCTGATCGAATTTAATGTTTGATCATTTTGATTGATGAGAACATGATTTCAATTACACAAACCACAGTGCTACATTTTGGATGTTGTTGGTTGATTTTTTTGATTTAGTGCATCACAAATATCTCTTATTTTTTCAGATTAAGCTATTACTTATGAATTGAATTTGATCTAATTTTGGTCTAACTTTTGTGGGTTTAGTTTTTCTGCTCATTGACTACCATTGTTCTGTCATTACATTGGGGATTGTGATTGTTTCCTTTGTGTTGCTTTGTGTTGATGGCTTAGAGTGTGTGGTTTGTTTCCAAAATCCATATACAACTTCAGTGTTTGGAATGCAATATTGATGAATGAAAGCTAAGGTGTCGTTTGGTAACACTTAGGTGTCGTTTGGTAACACTTACGTTTTCTGTTTTCTGTTTATATTTATAAAAATTTTAAAAACTCAAATAAAAATTTGTTTGGTAAAATTTTTGATTTATAAATCAACCAAACACACCCTAAGTGTGCTAACCACTGCTAGCTAAAAAGGGGTGTATCTGTGCGCGTGTGCGTGGCCCATATGTGTTTGTGTGTGTGTTTTTTTTTCCAAATTCCATTTATGCAATTAAAGATTAATTTTAATAATTCAATTATGAAATTATACCTTATGTTCTTTTTTAAGTAAGTGAGTTAGACACAAATACACTAATAGCCAACTGGGATTTGAACCTCACTTCCACATTCGGGGATGATGAGAGATACCACTAAAGGCAACAGCCAATAGTTGTATAAAGTACATCTATTAAAGACAACAAGCCTTTGATAGATTTTCTCCCAATATGGGCATTTGCTACTTGTGCATAACTGAGAGCCTGTTTCGTTGGCCAAATCGAATTATTTCATTCTGAAGTAACCAACTCAAAATTTACTAAGTTACAAATGAGTTATTTCCAAATTTGCATATGCATTGAATATTTTTGATGTAATTTTTCATCTACTTGTGGCAGGTTGTGATTTATTCACCCGCTCGTACTGCAACACAACAAGGCTCTGGAAAAGTTGGGAGGTGGAAAATCAACTTTTTGTCTACACAGAAGTATGCCCTGTTGTTTCCTTTTTAACTTACCACTTGTAGTAACCTGTTACAGATGAAAATGTGTTTAATTGATTAATTCTGCAGGCATTGCACCTTGAAGTCCTAAGCCTAAAGCAAGATGTTTCTGTTTTTCAGCTTCAATTTATATTCTTTTATAAGTTTATCGGCTTCAATTTATTTAATTGATTCATAAATTACAAGTTAGTTTGATTGAGTAGTTTCTTCTTTTTATTGTATGGGATATATCATCTTGCATTTATATAGTCCTATGGTAAAATTTGTAGTAGGTTTTCACATCCACATTTATTATTGGATAAGGGTGCACCTTGTTGAAATTTACTACAATTATATGCAAAAGGACAATTTTTTTAATTTTTTAAATTTCCTCTCATCCAAATTGTTGCACCCTTTAAATTAATTCAATAGAGTGCGAGTACTAATTCAACAAGGAGAAGATGCCAAAACTTTTGGCGTCATTTAGAGAGAGAGACTTCTATTGTCATACAAAATAAGTGTACAAAGGGGGAGAGGGGGTGGGTAATAGTTCAAGAAGAAAATGAGAAGATTTTTATTCATTAATAACATTCCTTTTGTTGCTGATCAAAAAGAAAAAAAAAGAAAAGAAACAAGGAAGACAATAAGAAGATGCCAATACTACTATCCTCCTTCAAATTACCTAGAGAGCATGTAGTTCTGATGGCATTTAATAATATTTATGAACTTTTCAATTAAAAACTTCAACATTAATTAAGTGATGTATTAGATTTTGTTTCCAAAATAAAACTTTAAGTAATACTTGATGAAAGTGATTGATTTTTAATTGAGTTATGTTATGTGACAGTAACCCAATCCATTTTGCTTCAACAATGAACTTGTTAGCAATGATTGAGAAGTCAATTGACTTTTCAATTTAATTTTTTTAATTATTTTGTTTGAATAAAATAAATAAGAAAAAATATATTATGATACCTTCAACATTTTTTTCATAATAAGTATTTATATATTAGATACCCCCTACAGCTAGGGCATATTCCATTTTTGCCAGAGCAAATACAGCTATCTAATGTTTTAAGTAGTTCTACCTTGCTCCACAGAGGCCAGCCCAGCCCAGAGAATAGTAAGAGCCAAAATTTTATTAGAATGCACAGTTGCACACCACAATGGATGACAACCCATATGCACAGGCTGTATACAAAAATAACCATAGGCCTATATGGCAACACTAATCCATATGCTCAACAAAATCTAAATCTAAAAAAAAGTATGTGGAAGAATTAACTCTGTATTTATCTTAAGAAACATTTGCAGTGTTGTCCATGGATTGAATTTATTTTTTCTTTTTTATTATATTTTCTTCAACTGCCTCTGAGTTCAGTACCTCTTATAAATATTAATGAGAGTGGTGTTGGCATATTTTTTGAGGTGGGAGAATCCATTGATGGGTTGGACATCTACTGGAGACCCATATGCTAATGTTGGCGATGCCGGACTCAGTTTTGACAGTGAAGAAGCAGCTAAGGCATTTGCTGAAAAACACGGCTGGGAATATGTGGTATGTTCTTGTATACAGTATTGTTGTGCAGATATGTTGTTCAAGTTTAAAAAATATGACTCTCTCTGTAGTTTATTCTTTGTTGTTGTTTATCTCCCTTGTGAGCTTTACTTATTTAATAAGTACCTTTGCATATCTTCATTTAATAATCCCTATAATGTCAACTTGTTTTCCTTGAGTTCTACACTTCAGAACTTCGTAGCCTTCTTATTATGGATATGCATGCATCTCTAGCACACTAATCCCATGAAGATTCTGACTGGGTAACATTAAGAAGGTGATAGCATGTAACACCATAAAGAAACTGAGGTGTCCCTAAACCTAAAGTGTTTGTTGATCATTTATTACATTCCTGGCAACTTGATTTATTCATTTCACTGAGTTTGGGTGATAAAGTGCATATTGGAAGGAAGGCTTCACAGAACTGTGCTTTCGAAGTGTATGCTGTTGAATTTAAAGCTTTTATGTTAAAGTAGATGGCTTAAGATATAAAATGAAAACTATGGAGGCAACATAACATGCAAGAAAAGAATGCAAAAAATGATTGTCCCATTTGAGGGTTAGGGCTTTTAGAATACTGATTCTCTCCCACTGCTCTAGCTTTTGGGTTGACCCTTGTTCATGTAGTAGAAGAGTAGCTCTAACTTTACATTGCAATTTCTCAAGTTCAAACTCATTTCAAGTAAGGTGCTTACTATCAACCTATATACATTTGATTTATTCGACACCATTTTATGTTATAAAGTTGTTAGCATAAAGAAAATATTTCCTTCCTTATTTCAACTAAAGTGTTAAAAGTCAACGCTACATACTCTATCTCCATCATATGAACTTGTAAGGATTACTATTATCATGGCCTATCCTCACGAATGTTCCATGAAGTATCATTTTGAACATACAAGGTATTCGATCTTTCTTTCCGGTGCTAAACTGTAACGACCCCAAAATCCGTATCCGAAATTACTTTTATATCCGTGTGGGTTAATGCATTTTAATTTAATGATATCTGTTTGAATTGTAGCATTATCTGTTGAGTTACAGCTTTAAAATTGAAATTACCGATCTTTACAGGTTCAGAAATCAAAATTGAGTATTTGTGTATGTTAATGGGAATTTTTAGAATTATTTGGAAAAATTAATTGGAAATCTAATTTGTCTGATTTGTTAATGCACGTTTGGGTGGTTAACTTGGTACTGCAAATTGAAGGCCTTAAAGGCTTCAGAAACCAAAACAGAGGACATATTTATGATCAGCTCAATTTTTAGAGTCATCTGGAAGGTTTAATTGAAATTTGATTTCATTGCGATTCGTAAGGCCGTGTTTGGCTTTCCCTATTGTGTTAAGTTTATGTGTGTATATGTATATGTATAGATGTGCCATATGAGTGGTGGAACTCATCACTTTGAAGTCAAATAAAATATCTGAGGGAGAGAACCGAGAGAATGGAGAGCAAAGGAGAGAGGCAGCTCTCCAAGAGAGAAAGAGAGCTCACCATCCATGGAAGCTTGGGGAAATTGAAGGAAACTAAAAGAAAGACAAAGATTGAACTAAAGTATGACCATCTATCTTGAATCCTTATGATTAAAGCATCAATTACATGAAATCAAGGATTGATTTGGAAGATGTAATATATAGATGAATTGGAGTTTTGGATTATGAATGAAATGAACTCTCTTCAAGAAATTGAACCTTGATTCCTTAATGTTGTGTTTGGTTGAGGGATTTGAGGAGGGATTTGGAAAAGGAAATAGAAAAGGTAGGTGAAATGTGAAAAAAATATACCCATATTTCACATAGTTTCACACACCTTTTCCCTTTCCCTTTCCAAATCCCTCCCCAAATCCCCCAACCAAACACAGCATAAGAGTTGCTTAATTGAAGAGTTAAATTCTTTATATTTGTTTATCTTGAGGTTGATTATGGGAAGTTGAGCTCCAATATTGAGGTTTTGCATAATTAGCTATATATGAATGAGGATATATATAAATATGAAAGATGTGAGCTTTGAACCCCAAACCATGGCTATTTTATGCTCTTGTGTTTTAAATCTTAATTTTGTTCTTGTGCTTGGGAATTGAGTAGTATTTTGAGGTTATGATGTTTGAGGGAAGTTAATAATATGAAATTTATCATGTATTAAAGGACTTTAGGCTTTGATTTACATGAATTTGAGGTTTAACCTTGAAAATGAGAAGTTACAAAACAAGAAGCCATTTTCGAACTGAAAATTACCTAGAGCTACACGTTCGGCAGTCCATGCCCAAAACCAAGTTTGATTCTGCTAAAAAGGCACGTAGCTCTGCAGCCGGTGCGACAAATTTGTGACCGCCGTCATGGTCTCCACGCATGACTTCAAAGTATACTGATTGGCCTCAATATCAGTTTGCACCGCCATTTTTTGCTCAACCGACCGCATCGGAAAGTTCAACGGAGCAAAACCAGAGGCGCTTGGTTGAGGTTCACTGGCCACCGCACCAGTTCTCTCTCTTGTTGACTCATTGAGGTCGGGAAAGAGAGTGAGTAGACCACGGGATGAAGAGGCCATATTCTGGGTAGCTGAACGGGAAGAAGAGGCCAGGTTTTTTGGGTTGTTGAGTGTTTCCGAGAAGGGTTGGATACAGAGTATTTACAGATTGTTTCAGAATAACAAGTTCAAAGGTTTCAGTCTGGTTTCCTCCGCCTCCGCCTCCGCCTCCGCATTGGTTTATATTGACACAGACGACGCGGCCGACACGCCGCTCTGTCGCTCACGTGCCTCGCCGCGTCTCCGGCTCACCTTTTGATGGCTTGACGCTTTCTGTCGGGCACGACTTTTGATGAAGTGGGAGCGCCTTTTGAGGGCGCAACTTTTGATGGCACGCATTTTGATGGCATGTCTTTTTATGGATTGGGCACGCCTTTTGATGGCACGCCTTTTGAAAGATTGGGCACACCTTTTGAGGGTGCGACTTTTTAGGGGTCCGACAAGACTCTGTAAACTGTCCCGACATAGATTCCGGTTAGTTTCTACAAGGGTCCAGCAATGTCTTCTACAACGGTCCGACATGACCGCATAAACTGTCTTCTACATCGGTCTGACACCGCCATCCAGTGTCCTCTACAACGTTATGACACCACCATACAGTGTCCTCTACAACGTTATGACACCACCATACAGTGTCTTCACCAATGGTCTGACACGACCATACCGTGTCTCCTATTCTGTTTTAGTTTATTTATCAGTTTACTTTCCTGTTTTGTTACTCTCTCCAAACTCAGGTTGGTTAGTATCTATCCTCCTTGAGTTTGAGGGGGGCTGTAAGTGTGGTAGGTAGAGTTGAGTGTGTTAGGTGAGAGTTGAGTGTGGTAGGTAGATGTAAGTGTGTTAGGTGAGAGTTGAGTGTGGTAGGTGAGTATGTTTTTCTCTTCTATATATAGGAGAGTCATTGTATACATTCAATAATATCAATAATATCAATCATAATACATATAATTTATTCTCTGTAATTCTCTCTCTATCAATTTATTTTTACATGATTTATGAATTGTTACTTGTGAATGGCCTATTCCATTAATATTGTGCTTTGAATAAATTAATGGATACGATTGAATAATGGTTTTGATATGGACCTAAGGTTGTTCCATCCCTAGTAATAGACGTGGGCCCGAGGCTGTTATGATGTGAATTGCTCTGTCCCTATTAATGCAGTGATACATTTGCCTTCTGTTAATAGTTATTATTAACGTTCTGTTATTCGCAAGACAACTATGTCGACTTGTAATAAACCATGGGAAAATCTTTGTGCACTATTGAGTAATAGTACTATAGCAGTACGTTTTGCTTACTGTTAATAGTTAATACTGACGTTCTGTTATCTGAAAGTTAACTATCTTAATTCATAATGAACAAATAGAACATATGTACATTATGGAACAATGATATCTTTGTGTATCTGGAATCATTCTGTTTTGCTAATGATGGGCCCGAGGCCAATCTGTATAATCTGTTAGGCCTGAGGCCGCTCTGTATAATCTGTTAGGCCTGAGGCCGTTCTGTATTATATGTGGGCTTAAAGCCGATCTGTATCATATCTGAGCTTAAAGCCGTTTTGTATCATATCTGGGCTTAAAGCCGTTCTGTATTATCTGTGGGCTTAAAGCCGAACTGTATCATATCTGGGCTTAAAGCCGTTCTGTATTATATATGGGCCCGAGACCGTTCTGTATTACATGTGGACCTGAGACCGTTTTAAAATATGATTATGAATAAGATCTGTGTATGGTTTGGGAGACATATTTACATTCTCTAAGTCTATGCTCGTCTAATTCACCTCCTTACATTGCTATTATTCACTGAGCCTTGCTCACTCCATTTTTATGTATATTTATGTACGTGAGCCATTAGAGATTGACACTAGAATTGTATTGAGGTCTACCTGTCTGCTAAGCCGCCTGGGGTACGCCTCCGTGTTGAGGCCTTAATTTGTGTTGGGAGTCGTATAAATAATTAAGTCTTATGTAAGTATGTGTGAGATCTATATAAATTTTGTGATTGTATGTGTAACTCTGGGAATATATTTAAATACTTGAATCTAATTAAGCCATCATGTATGCACAAGCTCAATGGATGTTGTCTTTTATTGATATTGCTTCCGCTTAAGGCTCCGCATGTGTTTAAATATTATTCTAAATTCAGTTTTGAGGCCTATGTACGGGCCGGTCATGGATCCAACTTTTAGGGACGGATTTGGGTTGTGACATAAACATTATTGACACAGTTCATGTTTGTATGCAGGTCAAGAAGCGCCACACCCCCCTTTTGAAGGTAAGTGATTCTTTTTCCAACTTATTTAGAGAATGAAAATGAGTAGTTCTGTTGCAGAAATTTTGATTAGGCAAGTATTTGTTTTATGTGCAAAAACAAGTGATATTTTATATGTTCATTATGAGAGGAAAACTTATTTTCTTTCAGCTTTAAATGGGCTGGTTCAAAAATTTATTTATGCCTTAATTTTTCACTTTGTACAACTGAGAAGTTCCTCTCTCATACTTCCAACTGCTTTTTTTAAACGTTACGGGCAGCGAAGACTTAAAATGTCTTTTGATGCGGTAGTAAAATAAATAAATAAATACTAAATTTATTTAATTTGCCATTCTTGACTGAACATAATGGCAAAAAAATGTTCATATAGCTTACCCTATTTGATTAGGACAGAGTTTGGTTTGGTAATCTTTAAATCACATGTGTGGATTAGGCAAATATTTGGTTTAGTTTACTTATCAACAATAATCGTGTGTTTTTGCCTTTGCTTGCTTGCAGGTAAAAGCATATGCAGACAAGCCCAGCAAAAGACTGAGGAAAACTGAATCGTAATTTTGCAAAAACTCTCTCCCCCATTCTCAAAATGCTTTTGAGGATGCAATTTAATAATGTTAAAATTTACCTACACCTACCACCACCTACTACCACACCTACTACACCTACCCACCAATTTACCCTCACCTACTCCTCACCTACTACCCAAATCCTCTCCTATATAATAGGAATCCTTGTAATATCAATATAACAACACAACAATATCAATCAATAATATAGTATTTTTAACATGGTATCAGAGCAAAGTTAAGAAGCTAGTAATTCTGCTTCACCGGCGGGCGGCAGCCTCACCTTGGCCGCCCGCCGGACATCTACACATACCTTCACTTTCCTGCATCTTCCAACTCTCTTTATCATTTTTCTGCTCCTGCTCTCAGGCTTGGTGTAACATAATCATCTTGGTCCAGCTCCATGCTTCCACCTTCCCATAGATCATTTTCACTGATCATGTCCCAAGAATTTCCTTCTTCAGCCAAATTTTGCGAAACTGATGCCTGGGCACTCTCTAGCTTTTCAAGGAAATCAGAGCATTCAAATCTAGATTTTAGAAGATCACACAACTCGTCGGCGAAGTCTCCTTATCGGATGCCGACGAACCCTCGGGCGCCTCCTCCCCGTTGTTGGACACTGCACCATCGGCATCAGCGTCGAAGCCGGTGTCACCAATCAATTCTGAGGAGAAGGCAGTCACGTGCTAAAGCAGAGCTCGAAAATAAGCTTATAAAAGCTCGAAAGCCATATCTTCATGAATCCCACCACCAGCATGCTATGAGAAGGGCAAGGGGAACCGGAGGTCGTTTCGCTAAAAAGTCCAATAACAACACAGCTGATGAAACAGGAACAATTTCGGGTTCTGCCATCTCATCACACTCTGGCCTCGGCATCAACCTCGTCGCCTTCGGCATCTACCTCGTCGGCGAAACCACCTACAACAAGATCTATCTCTTCTCTCTCCTCCTTTTCTCCCAAACCCATATCTGTATGTCCTCCAGAACCAAGCAGCTCTTCTTAGGGGTTTCTGTCACTCGGCATCAACCTCTCTCTCTAAAAACATGAGCAGTGGCACAGATGCAGTTCATCCCAGCCCTGCAAAGTCCATGATGGACCCATCAAAATACCAACTCTCTCTCTCTCTCTCGGAGAACTGTGCAGAATATACAGCACAGAGGTCACGAGTGAGAAAGCTGCAATCCATTTCAAGAGCTGGAACGTAGTGTAACTACTTTACAGATTGAAGTATCGGCAATGTCACTGAGGGTTGCATTCTTGGATCATCAACGGTTGATTCTTAATGTTGACAATAGTGCACTCAAGCAGAGGATTACAGCACTTGTTCAGGACAAAATTTTTAAAGATGCTTATCACGAGGCATTAAAGAAAGAAATCGACAGATTATGACAAGTATACCATGAGCAGAACCTAAAGAAGATAGCTGTCACCAAACACTTTACAGCCATTCTCTCTCTCAATTCGGAGAACAAATTTTCTCTCTCACTTTACTTTTTCTCTCACCCACGTTGCTCTCATTTCTTTATTTTATTTTATTTTATTCATCATTATATATTCATCATCCCCCACTTCATTTTATTTATTATTATTATTATTATTATTATTATTATTATATTAAAAAAAAAAAATTCATTCCAGTTTAATTTTTCTGTTCCGTCTTGTCCCTTCACGCCATTCGGATTTGCACAATACACTCATTTTATTCCTATCGGGATCAACCCCGATCCACATTTTACAAAAAAAAAAAAAAAAAAAAAAAAAAACAAAAAAAATACACCAAAAAAAAAAAGAAGAAGAAAAAACAAAACAAAACAACAACAACAGCAGCTTTGTTTTCTTTTCTGCAGACGGCCACCCACCGACCTACTCTGTCGCCGGTCTCTTCTTCTTGCCTCCGTCCTGAGCAGCCCTTGACGGTGCTGCCTCCGTGTTTTCCACGCCGCCGAGCACGTTCACTCCCCCATACTTCTCCACTGCAGCATATGGCGGCCCTCCAAATCGGAATATCACGGTGGCCTTCCGCTTCAGCTCCTTGTTTTCTGCCCTTAGCACGCTTATCTCTGCTCGCGCATCCTTATACATGCGTTGGAGCAGAGCCAGCTGGGAGTTTAAAGTCTTATGTAAGTGTGAGTGAGATCTATATAAATTTTGTGATTGTATGTGTAACTCTGGGAATATATTTAAATACTTGAATCTAATTAAGCCATCATGTATGCACAAGCTCAATGGATGTTGTCTTTTATTGATATTGCTTCCGCTTAAGGCTCCGCATGTGTTTAAATATTATTCTAAATTCAGTTTTGAGGCCTATGTACGGGCCGGTCATGGATCCAACTTTTAGGGACGGATTTGGGTTGTGACATAAACATTATTGACACAGTTCATGTTTGTATGCAGGTCAAGAAGCGCCACACCCCCCTTTTGAAGGTAAGTGATTCTTTTTCCAACTTATTTAGAGAATGAAAATGAGTAGTTCTGTTACAGAAATTTTGATTAGGCAAGTATTTGTTTTATGTGGAAAAACAAGTGATATTTTATATGTTCATTATGAGAGGAAAACTTATTTTCTTTCAGCTTTAAATGGGCTGGTTCAAAAATTTATTTATGCCTTAATTTTTCACTTTGTACAACTGAGAAGTTCCTCTCTCATACTTCCAACTGCTTTTTTTAAACGTTACGGGCAGCGAAGACTTAAAATGTCTTTTGATGCGGTAGTAAAATAAATAAATAAATACTAAATTTATTTAATTTGCCATTCTTGACTGAACATAATGGCAAAAAAATGTTCATATAGCTTACCCTATTTGATTAGGACAGAGTTTGGTTTGGTAATCTTTAAATCACATGTGTGGATTAGGCAAATATTTGGTTTAGTTTACTTATCAACAATAATCGTGTGTTTTTGCCTTTGCTTGCTTGCAGGTAAAACCATATGCAGACAAGCCCAGCAAAAGACTGAGGAAAACTGAATCGTAATTTTGCAAAAACTCTCTCCCCCATTCTCAAAATGCTTTTGAGGATGCAATTTAATAAGATAAGAATGCTACACACTCCTACTTGTCTGCAAATAATCTTAATCAACTCTTTCTAGAATAAATATTAAGTGAAATGGTTATGTTTTTATAGTAAGTGAAAAAGTTATATTTCTAGAATATATTTAGTGTCATTAGTCAATTGATTTTTTTTTTTTTTTTTTAATATTCTTCATCTTTCACTATTCAACATATAATATCATGATTATAATATTTACTCTCTTTGTGAAAAAGAAAGTTATTTTAAAGGAATCTGTAAACACCATCTTTAGGTGTCACCACTTTATTTTTGTAATATTGATTTACACAATTCAATATATGATCTAACGTTACTCTTGTTTTTCACTCAAGCCTAAGGCCTTGTTTGGTATATACTAAGGAGTTGTTTGGGATGACCTAAATAAGTATACTTTTTGTCTTTTTACGAAAAGATGTGCAGAAAAGTAGAGAGGTGATGTGATGGAAAAAAGATAAAAAGATTGATTATTTGGGACTTTTCAAACTTGGCCTAAAAAAATCAAAAAGTCAGCATCCTATTTAAATCAGATCATCTTATTTAAGTCACATCACCTCTCTATCAAATCACTTCAAACTCAATTCATATTTCATAAAAAATTAAAAAGTACATTTATTTAGAACATTCTAAACCACCCTTTAAGGGTGGTTTGTCCTCCTTTCAAAACTATTTATTGATTGATAATCCTTGCATAACATTTGCTATGTGAACCTGACCTTTTAAGAAACTATTTATTAATCAATAATACTACGCATTTTTATTTTATGCATCCTTAAAAATTGTTTATATCTTTTTCTATTATTGTTTATATTTTTAATTTGTGAAAAAATTGATTTTATAATTCATTTTTTTAATGAAAATATTTTTTTATAAAAAAGTACATTATTTGTTTAATTAAAATGAATAAACAATTAAGAACTCGACCTCCCATGTAAACCCAACATCTTTGAAGGTTCTTTATCAATTGATAATATGTTTTGAGGGGAAAAAAATGCTATACACAAAGAAAATTTATGTAGTGTTGGGTAGAATTTTAAAATTATGATTTGAGAATAGAGTTGTATTTTGAGTTGGTAAGTGTTAGAATTATAATTTAAAAATAGAATTGTATTTTGAGTCTGTGAGTTTTGAAATTATGATTTGAAAAGAGAGTTTGTTTGGTTATGAGATTTGAAAAGAGTTTTAAATTGAATTTTTGAAAGAGTTTTGAATTTTTGAAATTAGAAAAATTATTTGATTAAAAAATTTACAACTCATAATCAAATTCACAATTCAAAATTCCTAAAAAATATTTTTAAAAAAAAAATTAAAAATATTTTTTATTTAAAATATAAAAAAATAATAAGTACCAATTGCCAAAAAAAAATACAAACGTTGTTTTCGGTCAACCGCCTGAACGTTCGAGGGACAAACACTGTTCGAGGGACAAACACTGTTCTGGTACCGGACGTCTGGGAAATGAGTAGACGTCGGTACCGGACGTCCGGGAAATGAGTAGACATATTTTCAAAAGTGAGTTGAAAACGTTGATTAAACACCACGCTCAAACCAAATGAAACCAAATGAAATTGAGTTTTGCAATTTTCACAAAAGGCCTATATTTTCTTAGCACTATATTCAATAATGTGCTTTACTGTAATAAATATATATGTAATCATGTATTCATGTCTAGTGATAAATATTTTTAAAAAAAAATTATTTACTTTTTGCATTTATAAATAAAAAAAAGAAGTGGGCTCTATCAATCCAACTAGGGGTGTATACGGTCCGGATTGGTTCGGTTCTGAGAAAATTCAAGAACCGAACCGATCCTAACGGTTCTGTGATTTTGAGAACCAGACCAGACCGTTACACTTGTAAAACCGGACCAGAACCAAACCGAAAAAACGGTTCGGTTTCGGTTTGGTGTACGGTTCCAAAAATTTCTATTTACAAAAATAAATTATTAATATTAGCAAAATAATTACTCAAACTAATTACATTTGAAAGCATGGACTGAGCTGCTGTTCTTCTTCCCATTGCTTCCCCACTCTATTTTCGCCGAGCAAGAAAACCCATTCGGCGAAGACGACACGGGGACACTACTTGTCTCCGAGAATCGAAGCACGACCTCCCCACAGATCCTCTTGCATGCACTGCCTCCATGCCTTCCCTCGCATGCAACAACCATAGAATCAAGCCACGAACACTCTGGTTGACCCACCATCTCCTTATAAGCCGAGTTCGCCAGCCTCACTTTGTTGTTCGAGTCTGACACAACAGCCGGCAAGGCCTCGGACTCAACCTCTTCCTCAACCTCCTCTCGTTTACCAATTCTTAATAGAACCGAACCAAACCGTATGATTCGGTCTGGTTCGGTCCGGATTACCGGATCGAGCGGATTTTTGAACAGCCCTAAATCCAACCATTAAGAGGCTAGCAAAAGTTCTCTTCTTCATTATTGGTATGATTATGTACAATAGCAACTTCTAACTTCTAAGTTACTGACTACTTACCAAAAAGATATGTATATATATAATATATTTATATTATATTAGATGTAAATTAGCGACTTCAAGCGTTTGATCCAGACTGAGAAGCCTCTCTGGTAGTATGGAACCTCCAAGCAAAGTGGTAGTCCTTCGACTCACAACATAACCTCATAACATCACAGAAAGCATGGACTGAGCTGCTGTTCTTCTTCCCATTGCTTCCCCACTCTATTTTCGCCGAGCAAGAAAACCCATTCGGCGAAGACGACACAGGGACACTACTTGTCTCCGAGAATCGAAGCACGACCTCCCCACAGATCCTCTTGCATGCACTGCCTCCGTGCCTTCCCTCGCATGCAACAACCATAGAATCAAGCCACGAACACTCTGGTTGACCCACCATCTCCTTATAAGCCGAGTTCGCCAGCCTCACTTTGTTGTTCGAGTCTGACACAACAGCCGGCAAGGCCTCGGACTCAACCTCTTCCTCAACCTCCTCTCGTTTCTTTGGAACTCGAGCACCCGGGTTTAGGTCTGCGTCTTTGTTTATGGATCCGACGGTTATGCTCGAGCCAACTGGGCGAACCGGCTGCGGTGTTATGACGCGGATGGGTCCTCCTGCTGGTTGAAACTGCTGTAGGAAATCCGTCTCTTCTGGTACATCATCAACCACCCTGTTTAAATCTATTTCTGGGCGGAGAGGAAGAGTGACCAAGCTTGAAGAAGATTGAGGAAGGATATTGAATTGGAGGGCATGGGAAGAAAAGCCATGCATGGATGAGTTTTGGGGAGGTGGAGGAGGAGAAAGGGTGAAGAGATGTTGGGTCTTTGGTCGCTTGATGGCTGGAGGAGCGAGCGATGTTCGTCCTCTCTTCCGGGTTCGGGTCGGTCTGGCCTGCAAATGAGGCCATACTTTGCGGAGGTAAGGAGAGTTTTGGATCTTTTGGGATAAAGATGATGTATCATCAGAGATGGGGTTTGTGGAAGTGTCTGGCCTTGGAGCAATGGGTCTGTATCTAGACATTATTTCAGCTGTTTTGGATGTGGAGTGAGGATTCAGGGCCTGAATCATTTTTTTGAGTGAAGTGAGCTCTAGGAGCTTGAAGTTGCTGTTATGGAGAGAGAGAGAGAGATTTTGGGGTTGAGAGGTGAAAAGGTTTACCAAATGTCTCACATGGGTGTGAGACCTACATGGGACCCACATTATGTGGGTCCCACACCCATGTGAGACATTTGGTAAAACTTTTGGTAGAATATTTGGGGTGTGACACTTGGAAATGTACGTGGGGTTACGTGTTTGAGTGAGGAACTTACAGGGATATAGAGACATGTGGGATTCCACCGTGTTAACTACTGGGACATTGCATGCTTACACATGTTACGTCCTAGGGGTGTAAGCGTGTGCTATTAAATTTGTGAAATATAAATTTTAATTTTGAATTAAAAATATATATAGTGTTTATTGATCAAGTAATTAAGATATTTTATTTTTCAAATTCAAGATTTTATGTTTAAATTTTGTGCACTTTACTTTATAATTTTTTTTTTCATATAAAAAAATTTACTTGACAAAAAGAGAGGGTAGGCTTCAAAAGACTAAAGTAAAATTTTCACATATATAATAGTATAGATAGATATATATTGTATGGGTAATTCGACTGTTAAAGCACCAAAATTGAAAAATAAAAACAAATAATGGCATACTTGTAAAATTGGTATTATAAAAGTAGGAGTAAATCAATGGTTACAACACAAGATTTTTTTAAAGCAAATATTAAGATTACTTTAACCAACTTATGGTCTACTTATAAATGATTAATGATTTTAAAAAGTCAAATGTTAACAAATATTAAAAATTTGATAAAAAGTGTTTTAAAAAATTGTAAAAAAAATAAAAATAAAATAACTAGTATTATAAAATTTATAAAAAGTATTTGAATTTAGTGATTATAATTCGGAGATCTATTCATTTTGTCTTTTTTTTTTATTATTTAGAAATACTTGACAGGAAGATTTATATAAAAATGTGATTGAGCTATTATTAGGTACAAAAATTTTGTATGCTAGTTATTTATAATTTTTAAACGATTTGTGTTTTTAGGGTTTCTTTTGTTTTTGTTTTGTTTTGAATGTGTTTTGGAGTGCATTAAGAGTTACTGCTGTGTCTTTAGCATAACAGTAACTGTTGTGTCTTAATTTGAGGTGTATTAAGGGCTTATTTTTATGATCCAAACCATTCATTTTGTATGATTTATTGAGTACTTTATGCCTATCAAAAATCATATTAATCGAATATTAATAATTATATGATCGAATTGTATATCTTTTATGTTATTTCTCAAAAGAAAAATTTATTTTTTATTTTTTTGATTATCAATTATATAATTATTGATATCTAATTAATATATTTTTGATAAGTACAAAATACTTAACAAATTTTATAAAATGAACGATTCAAATTATAGAAATAAATTTATAATATATTTCAAATTAAAACATAATAGTCACTACTATACTAAACGCACTGCTAATCCTTTTGGGTTGAGTTGGGCTGTTTCTGACAACGCTCCAATCAGGCGGTGGGCGGCAACTCCGATTGCACCGAATGAGGGAAAGGTGGGAGAGCGCATTTTCAAATTGTAACACGTGTTGAGGTTAGGCCTCCATGCGTGCGAGCACCTATCAGGATTGGTTTGGTCCGCATTGCTCTTTTTTCCTTTGGTTGTTGCTTTTGAGGAGTTATTGGTTGCTTTAGCCTCCGTTTGGGAAGTGGGGTTGATTTTTAAATTTTTTAGTTTTTTTAGGTATTTTAATTTGGGTTAAAAAACTTGATTTGAGAAGAATTTTTTGACTTTTTTTGTGAGATAATGGTGTAATGATTATGGATTAGATGTGATATTTTGTTTGTTGTGACTAAAATAGTTTATTTTGTCTTTTGTGACTAAAATAGTCCTAAACCTTCTTGCCAAACGGAGCGTTAGGGATCGCCCTGCATGATGTTCAATATATTCATGATCAGTCGTGCTTCTGACTCCCAACTGGGGGCACCCCCAGTGACCCCCCAGTGCCACATGTCGGCCTGGGGTTGGCTGGAAACAAAAAAAATAAATAAAAAATAATTTTTTTTTTGGCCAATCACGGACGACCCCAGCACCCCCACTGGGGATCAGAGGCTTTATTCATTCATGATTTTGGGTTGAATGGTTAGAGAACATAAAAAAATATAATAATTTATGATTAGTTAGGGCCTTTAGACCGATCAATAATTTTTCATTCAAAAACGTTAGAGGTCCCAAAAATTCTACCAAAAGGTTTACCAAATGTCTCACATGGGTGTGAGACCTACATGGGACCCACATTATGTGGGTCCCACACCCATGTGAGACATTTGGTAAAACTTTTGGTAGAATATTTGGGGTCTCTAGCATTACTCGTTTTATTTTCCCGTCGGGTCGGTTTCAAATTGCCATCCATAGCTCTATGTGTATATCACTTATAAAAAAAAAAAAAATAGATTGGTTTGATATTTGTAACTTTTACATTTTATCAAGTTTGTTTCTGACGGTTGGTTTGGGGTGTCCTAAAAAAGTGCACTTTTTGTCTTTTTACGAAAAGATATTCAGAAAAGTAGAAAGGTGATGAGAAGATAAAAAGATAAAATGATGGATTATATAGGTTATACCAAACGAGACCTAAAAAAAAAATAACAATCAATTTGTTTTTAAAAATAAACTATCTTTTTTTTTTTTTTTTTTTTTACAAATTCAATAAAATGAATGGTTTATATAGTTCGGATTATCAGAACATTATTTATGATGAGTCTTATGGGTATAAATGACATCTAATCTAGATGATGGACTAAAGAGAAGCTCAATCCTTTTCAGAAAATTTGTGGTTGTTTGGCGTGTGCTAAAATAGCACATGCTATCCTATTTAGGTCACAATTATCTTATTTAAGTCACATCACTTCTTTAGCACATTATTTCAAATTTAATTTATATTTCTTATTTTTTTTGTAAAAAACCAAAAAGTATACTAATCTAACACTTTTCAAACAACGCCTATATTTTGTCTCTCAACCTAAAATTTATTAGTTAAAATAATGGGTTTTACCATTTTTTTATTTTTGGGGGTCTCTATTGGAAATGTTTGATTTTACAATTTTTAAAAATATTTTTTGATTTTTTAATTCATATTTTTTGGTTTTTAGTTAATTTTTAAAAAAATTTAATTGATTTTTTAAAATCTTTTAGACATACATTTAATAAGTATAAAATTTATGAAAAAAATCTTTGGAAAATTTATGAAAAATAGAAAAATTCAATATATATATATATATTGCATTTATTGAATTTTTATATACTTTTTAATAAAAAAATTAAGTACATTTATTTACATTAGGTGCATAGGTCTATCTAAATTTTTTTGATTAAAATATCGGGGGTGTTTGAGAACTTGGTTTTTGGATTTTTTTGGGTTTTTTTTTTATTACAAGACAAATGTTTTACAAAATCAAAAAAAATAAATTTAAACAAAATATCACATCAAACCCAATAATTATTTCACTTTTTCTCTTACAAACATCACATCCAATCACAAAAAAACCTAACCATCTTGGACTTTTCTCATGTGTGCCTTGCATATGGTATGCAAGGCACTTACACCCTTCTATTTTGCATTTACACATTTATATGTATTGGGTTATATCAAAATATTTGGAAACTTACACATTGGTGACCTGCTAAGTAGGTCACTTTCCAGGTAAATTAATAAAATAATATATTATATGACTAAAGGTGTAAATGGTCACAAGAAAAGTATAAGTTTTCAAGAAAGGCGTAACTGATTACTGAAAAGTATAAATCATTTACACCTTTTATGAACACTTACTCCTTTTGTGTAAGAATTTTTGGCATAAGATTTATACCTTTTGTGGAAGCCCAACTTAAAGCTTTTCAGAAGTCACTTATACCTTTTGTGAAAAAAAAAATTCATAAAATTTAGACATTTTGCTTAAGCTTACACCTTTCGTCGA